TGTGTATATCACACAGAACATCCCAAACCATCTTATTCAACTATACACCCACTTCCCAGATGGCACCCTCCCATACATAGCCTCCCTTCCCCCACTAGAGCCCTTATACTCTGATATCCCTGCTACCGTCTGTTGTGTTGTCGGCACCCCCAGCCTTTCCCCACTACTTGTCCATCTGGTCAATCTAGTCAGCCTATCTAGAGGTCTTTGTTTTAGGAAGGTCAGCTGTTCCTCATCTAGCAGCAATCAGTTGTCAGTATTCCTTTAGATAAGATTGGGGTCTTTTGCTCATTTGCCCAGTTCTATGCTGGCTTACTACTATCTGGGAGTCCCTTTGGCCACCCTGACCAACAACTCAAAAGAAGGTATCTCCTATCTGGCATTATTGCTTATTATGTAGCCTTTAGCTATGCATATGGACTCTTAAAAAAATTACATTGGCCCCTTTAATCTTTGGTTATACTTTCCTTTTGGGTGTTTAAGGCCATACAATTGGCCCAGATAAACCAATTTATTTTTACTCTTAAGATCGTTTGAGGATCTGTTCCTCAGGGGTCATATGGGCTTGGGAGGAGCCACTAGTTCTTTTACCAGTTCTGCCTATGTGAAGATAAATCAAAGGTCCTGCTCGACCATGGCTGGCTTCACTTGGAAGCATGGAGGAAACGATTCCTCTGTGTTGACCTTCCTCTTTGTAGACTGGACACTGGTTCAAGTCCATCTCGTGGGGTCTCCTCAGCCTCCTTGATCAAGAGGACAGATAACCCACCACAATTCCAGGACATTTTGGGAGATGCTCATGGTTCCCTGGAACTACTTGACCTAGGAGGGCAAGGAGCAAAAACTGTCCTTTATGTCCCTCTGACCAAATTATTATAGGCCTCAAAGTATGTCTGTTAAACATCCAAGAAGGTTAGTTCCACCAGTCTGGTACTTTTAATTACTGTGTGTCATGTAGATAAATCTTGGGCAAAGACCAATTGTTCTCAGATAAACCTTACCTAGCATATATTTCTTGATCTGGTATGTATAATTTGTCATTAGGTTGTTGGACTAATATGGTTCCCTCTGGTTTTTAAAACTACCTAGGCATTATTTATCTCTCACATTGTCTAACCCTTCCACCATGGTATCCCCATTTAAGGTGCCCCCATTTTTT